AGATAGATAGATAGATAGAGAGAGAGAGAGAGAGAGAGAGAGAGAGAGAGAGAGAGACAGACAGACAGACACAAACAGATAAAGATAAAGAGAGTGAGAGAAAGAGAAGGAGAGAGAGAGAGAGAGAGAGAGAGCGTGTGCGTGTGTGAGTGTGAGTGTGAGTGTGCGTGTGCGTGTGCGTGTGCGTGTGCGTGCGTTTGAGAGAGCGAGTGGGGCGGGAGGGGGTGACGAAAGAGTTGTCGCGAGTGGTTGTGCGCGGGGCCGGCGAAGGGGCAAGGAGAGGATGGCTACCGAGTCACCGAGGGTCGAGTTCGCCCTCGGCAGCGAAGTATCGCCGGGACATTTCTTTAAGAGCAGCTTCGCCCGCTCCTTCGTAAGCGCCAGCAGCCGCGACTCCACCAAATCCCTCGACTACGACTTCTACGAGAACGGCACCATTGCCGAGGAGCCAGTCGACGTTGCGCCCGATAACGCCAACAACAACTTCTACTCGCTGGTGAATTTCGCGCCGGACGTCGGGCAGCCTAACCCCTCGAGCTGGAGGCCCGGACAGGTGGGTGAGACCGCTCGTTACCGCCGACTCCCCGGTTCCAAGGAGTTTTGGCGCCCCGATCATCGGATCGTCGCCAGAATCGCGGCGACGATTTACTCGTAGTGTATCGACGATACCCCGAAACAGTGGTAAACAGCGCGGGAGGGAGACCGCGCGAAACGCGAGTCGTAAATTCGTAAACTTTGCCGGGATTAGGGCGATTTCCTACCAAGGACACGACCGTCCGAGACGAGAGTCCACTTTCCGAAATTCTTCTTTAAAGAAAAGTCCGTTAAGGGCGACACCGGTCGTTGGCATTTTTCCCTCCCGTTCGCCCAAACCTCGTTTCTCCTTTATTTTCATTTGGTGCGCTAATGTTGGCATCTCTTTGCGCATGATTTCAAACAACATTTTGAAATTTGGCTAAATGGTAGCGAAAAGCTTTACGTTTTCACTTAATGTAACGCCATTGTGTTAAAATCGTTGATTCTCCAAGCTTATTCTCGCTATAATGAAGGAAATTTTTCATAATCCCTCGCTAGCACGACCATACAATGTCAACATTTGCTAATTTCGTTCATTCGTCTAAATAAATCTAATAATCCGTATTATCACGCATTTTCACAATAAGCAATTTCCATCGATACATTACATTTTTAATTGAATAATTCATGATACAATGTGTACGTAAGATTGATTACCAGTCTTATTTAATTGATAAAATTGACACGTAAAATGTAATGAAAGTGTGACTGCTTTTATAACTACGTCGCTGCCAAACTATCAACATGAATTCAAATGGAATTTAATTAATTTTGTGTACAACATAAATTCAACGACAACACAACACAATCCTCGCGATATTAAGAGCGCATATTTTAAAATTCGCAAAGCCTTAAAAAAAAAAAAAAGAAAAAAAAAGACAAGTCTGTTATTTGGATGCTAGAGAGATACGATTGGACTGTTTGACCGTTTGCAGCTCAAGTTACACGGGCCTACACCGTAGAAACGGTTTATTTATTTATTTAAGATTATTCTTTAAGATAATATGAACTAAATAAGGTTTTATTTAATGGTGGCGCATAAATTATTGAAAGTTACTTAATTACATACGAAGGAATTTGTAAATAAAAAAAAATAATAATAATAATAATAATAATAATAATAATTCGTGTATGCTTTATAAATTATGACAAATAATATTCTCTCGCTTTAGTGATACGAAATACGATCTAAACATACATTTTTATAAAATCGTTTTCCCCAATATAATTACACAGTGCATAAAGAATCGTAAATAACGGACAATTAAGAGTTTTGTAAATATTCAAAGGTCAAACTACTGTTCCAATGCTAGAGTAGATATATTTTAAACAAATAACAATTTTGTTGTTGTTGTTGTTGTTGTTGTTGTTGTTGTTGTTGTTGTTGTTGTTGTTGTTGTTAGGACAAGGTTATTATTAATGAATAGCTTTTTTAAGAATAATATCTATGACGATATTTTAAATTATAAATTTTGCCGCACTCATTACCATATAGTCAAATGTAAGAAAAAACATTTACAATTTATTTTGATGTCCAATTCACAAATATTACTAAAATTATTATATTCTTCTACAGACCTTTATTTAGAAAATAGACCGATGATTAATCTCCATACTTATTTAATTTGTTTAATTAAATAAGTCCATTTTTAAGGCTTATTTGATATATTACAAATGCTTGCCAAAAGCTTAGAGAACTCGTGGAAATAAATGTATTTGGGGACTATCGCTTGACGATAAAAATCATAACAATATCAAGTTATCTCATATGTATTTGGTAATTTATAATTTAAACCGATTGAGGTCGAATGATTAAAAAATTATTGCAATATTATCAGAGCATAACCCTTATCTAAATCTAAATGAGAGAAAAGTAGAGAAATACTATAATTAAGAGTAAATCTGTAAAATATGTGATATAAATTTGTGAAGAAGAATAGAAAAAGAAAATTTCATTTTGGATTATTAAAAATGATAATTATAAGCTACATATTATCGAGTAGACCTGCGTTTAAGTGAATTTTGGCTTGTAGTTTTATTACGAATCTTTCACGTCTTAAATTCATATTTGAAAATTTAATATTTGTCTAAGCCGTTGATGCGTTATCGCTAAATTGGCTAAATATTGCTAAAGTGAAATGAAAATTTTCCGAGGCCATTTATTACTGGCTCTTTGTTTATTTCGCCATCAAAGAAAAGAATTAAATTCAATGGGCGCAAAAGTATCCTCCGTCCATCCTCTTCTACCAAATACCAAAATAAAAATAACCAATAATTATTAAATATATTATTTCACTTAACAGGTGGCTTGATATCATATTTGCCTATAATACGTTGAAAATGTGTAAATATGCGGACAATAATTTCAAAATACGCGTCTCGAAAGACCATTTTGACGATCAAACGCAGGGAATAATTCATAATTGCCTTGGACGAAGGGAGCTAATATATTTAAAAATATAATGGCTTTGTGCGCATGGGGGTAAGCAGTTGAGCGAGCTTGCTTTTCGATGGCAAATGTCCGCCTCGCTTACTATCGTTGCTTTTCAACGGTATTGTCGGCCGTAATACGAAAACTGAAGCACAAAAGAAAGAGTGAAGCATGTCGTGACATGCCCGGATTACCCACCGCCGCTTCGCAGTATGTGTGAAAAATTTTGCGGCCTCTGAATAATTCTTCCTCGGAATTTAACTATCCAAGTACGCAACGCAGACGCAAAAAGCTCTATCGCTGCGCGCCTATTTTATAAAAGCAAATGCCTGCTTCAAAAAAGCTTAGGCGTGTATCGTTGCAGCTGGCTCCTACTTGCCGCTGCCTCTGGCTATTATTACTGCTTTCAGGGCGTTTCGCAAACAGCGATTTAAATACAATTGCATGGGCGAGGAGATGCCGCAGTAATACGGTAGCGTGCTTGATCAAGCCATTTGTCGTTATTTCCTGGGACCTTATTATTGTTCGCGGGGGTTCGCGGTGTCCTTCCTCGCTCGCCCCAATAATGTCCGCAAGTCGAATTAATCTACGTTGGCGCTCCGTAAAGCCAAATTATTGCTTTTCACTCGACCGATACTCGACACTTTTTCTTCACTCCCATCACCATCTTCGCCGGCCCCCTCCTCCCCCGTCAACACCAACCACTCAAATTCCATGATTATCGTTCTCGTTAGTCCAATCGTCGCGCCCGATTGTTAGTCTAATATTTTGCCAAATGTAATAATGAAGTTTTAGATAAAACGTTGTGTGCGGGTAATTCGAGCCAATGCTTTGTCTAAAATATTGATAATATATCGTGTTTGAGTATAGTTTGGATAGAATTTGTCTTATTTTCTAAATAAATTTCTTCACAATTCACTTTGTTCAGATTCAATTTCTTCAGAATTCACTAATGTTTCCGTAGCTTGAAACGACAATTATTTTACTCTTACATATTTGATCTTTGATCGAATAGTTGGACATTTTTTATTTTTCAATGGTGCTTTTTTTATTTGACAAAAAAAAAATTTTTTTTCTTTCTCACCATGTCAATTAGTTTTTGTTTTTGTTTCATTTTCATGCCGATTAAATAAATAAACCATTTACTTCAATTTAGCAAAATGGATTTAGTAACATTTAATAGAAGAATTAATTTTTTCATCTATCGTTGATTTAAATGAAAACTATATTATGACGAATAATCGTATTAAATGTACGTCAAATGACATTCAAATTTCGTTTACTAAAAACAAAAAAATCCAATACTACTCGCGATTTCTCATGCGTTCGCTAATCGTCCGCCCACACTTAAATAATAAATACACAAAAAACGATTGTCAATTTAAAGGAAGAGTTGTATAAAATTTTCCCGCCCATAGTACGTATTATTGGCCACGAAAAATAGAAATAAATTTGAAAATTAATAATCTATGTAAAGCACTCGATATCATTACATCAAAGCCGTAAGCTCGTCTTATAAAGCTAGATGATCGTCATCACGGATGACAATAACAGCTCAATCAATACCTGTATATATATTTTTTTTAGTATTTTTATTATTATTCTTCTTATAATTATTATTTTATTTTTATACGTCACGAAGAGATTCCTTAAGGCTTATCAATCGAAGTGATTTGAATAAAGGCCGATAAAATGTTGCCACGTGAAATTATTGGCTCGGCCAAGAATTTCTGTTGGAAAGGAGCAAAACTAATTTGCCGTTTAGCTTATCCGGAAATGCAGATATTCCGAAAAGCAGTTTTAAACGTAACACGCATCGAGAACATTCTGGCGAAATAACGAAAATGGCACTTGCATGGTTATCGTCTGAAAGCGAAAAGAAGAATTTCGAGAAAGAAAATTAATGGCCAAGGAAGTTTTCTTTGCGTACACGCTATCGGCAAACACCGGCCGGGTGAAAAACAGCGTATGAAAAACTTCTCGGCCCAAGTGCGGCATTACTCGCACTTATAGCGCACATTCGCATTAAATGGCCCTCGTTAATGATTTTCCATTTTCTCTTTTTCAGCCGAGTCCCGCAAACGGAGAGGCGTCGGCAACGGAGCTCAACGAGCTGGAAAAACTTCGAAAGGTAGGGAACACACCATAGTCACCATCCATACATCTGTTCGTCGGCCAATCGTAAAAATAGGAAACGAAGTGCAAAGTTCTGCGCGCCCGTAGACTCGTTAATAACGTTGATAAGTTTTTTCGATAATGAAGCGACGAGAGGTGTGCGAGCACGGGAAAAGTCAGTCAGTCGCGATTTCAGGAGGAAATCTCCCATCTAGATGTTGGCCCCCCTAAACTTCCGGAACATATTAGCGATTAAAGGCTAATGTATGACGCATGAAATGACGTGACGGTACATACGTATTTGACCCTTTTTCTTAATGTTTCGAGCTTCGACCGCGTCACAATTGTCACGCTCGTTATACTTTTGACACATAAATAGTGCGATGTGGGTGCTGAAAGTGTTTTATTGTCACATTGACCTTCCTAAATAAAAATACGTACGAGTTAGCCGATATATTAATTACAATGTAGGTCTTTTTTTTATTATTATTGCTTTTATTATTATTATTATTATTATTATTATTATTATTCTTTTTTTCTTTTTTTTTTTACTCTATCAAGGTAAATTTGCTTTAAAAATTTCTTCCTTTAATGTTTGCTTTTTCTTTTAATGTCGATGATTTCATGATTTCTGATTTACAAGCGATCGTTCCATTTCTTTAAATGGAATAATAAATGTAAATATTTTATCGTACTTGCACTGATAAAAACTTATTACGTAGGCAATCGCGAATTTTCTTGTTGTTATTCTTGCAGTAGCAATAATGTTACTTTATTTATTATTTGATTTTTTTAATTGGACGAAAACTTTATCAAAACTTGAATTATATCTCTTATTTGAGAATTTTTTCCATTTAAATATTTTCCATTTGATTGAGCCAAAGTCCATCGTGACAAACCGAAATTACACATCAATGTCAATAAATACCTTCATATGTATATATATACATATGTATATACGTGTGTGTGTGTGTGTCTCTCTCTCTCTCTCTCTCTCTCTCTCTCTCTGTGTGTGTGTGTGTGTGTGCGTGTGCGTGTGTGTGTATGCAAATATCTTTTTTAATTTCTGAATATTATTAAATCGATAATTGATAAAAGTTTCGTAACTATCATGACGAATTTCGAAAATCGAGCATAAAAATTTACATCGGATAACAATATATAAAGAGTGCAACTTTTTAAATTATGAGCGGAAACTGTGACTCACGAAATCAGGCTAAAAGATCAATTGCCATTATGTAAAAAATTAATAAAAATAATAATATTGGTTGGATTTTTTCTTTCTTCTTTGAAAGAACACAGTTCTTATTGAATTACGAGAAAATGAAAATAAATATCGTTTACGAAAATTACAAATTCAATTCCATAATAATGAAAGATCAACTAGAATGTGCAATCGAGATTATAATCGTATAACAATAGAATTTCAGTTTATTTCTATTAGCACCAAGTTTCCTTTTACGTAAATAAAACAGCTCTGCTTCCATTGTCGGACCTTTAAAAATGCGCGTACACTTGGTTTACGATCGCACAGCCGACGGCAACGCAACGATAAATCCCCGATAAAGAGATAAAAGATGTGCAAAAGGACGCGAACGGGCGTAGCACCCCGAGGCAATTTATTAAGTCGACGTTGTCTGAATTTGAAATCAAATATGGTGCCCGGATTCGCCAGAATAATTCACACCACCACGAGTATTAGGTGTGACGTCGATGGTGTCGTCAATGTCATCAAATATGGGCGTAAGATCGTTAGCGGATAATCTGTCGTTGAATGGGCGCCTGAGTTTATCGTTTTATCGACACATCAGCCGAGGCTCGGGAAAGTCACTAGACGCTTTTCCCCATCCCCTTTCGCTGCTATCGCCTTCCTCGTGGCGCAGGGTTTTTCTTTCTTCGCGCCGAGGGCCGGGATTGCGCATCGAACGGATTGGTGATTGCAGACTTCCCACTGCATTTTATCGATTTCTTA